ATCTCTCCACTTTTTATTTTTATTTTCTTTTTTCATTTCTTTATTTTTATTTATTCAATTGTTCTATTTTTATTTGTATTTTATTTCACTATTATTTCATTTCAGGTTTATTTTGGTTAATATAATTGTTATTTTCAGCTATTCATTTCCAATTTTTCTTTTTTAGTTGTTTCAAATCATTTTATATAGTAGACAATGGAAGTCTGAACTATAGTGAAATTCAGTACTACCTTGAGTCGCGCGTACCTCTTATTTACTTTAAAAACTCTGGCGGCTTCTTGCAGAGTGTGGATCTAAATAATAGATGAATATACCAAAATAGAAAAGACCATTAACCCAGTCTTTTGATAAAATTAAATTATTTCTTTGTCTTTCTATGACATAAGGGGGTCGCCAGAATTTTCCAACTTGTAAAGGGGTCGCGAAATCAAAAAGAATGAGAAACAATGAATTAGAGTAAGCAGTTGTTTAGAGAGCCCCCATTTTGTCACTTTGCTGAAAAGAAAATGATGGTCTATTTGATCGAAGGCTTTTTGAAAGTCTAAATAAACAACATCGACTTGTTTTCGCTTGTCCAGAATTGAGTCTTATCAGTCATGTGATACCAATTTTATCCCGTGAAGTTATCATGGGTTATTGCCAAAAAAAAGTGGTTATTGAACTTTAGGTAAAACACATTACGAGTTTTTTTACAAAGCGTCATAGTTATCTCTGTCAATTCCAAAGTCTAATTTCACGTTTCCTCGCTTTTAATATTATAATTACATGCAATCTGGCCCTAACTTGTGTAGTTCGAATACAATCAAGAGACCCATACCCACGATGTTTACAACAAATTTGTTATTCTTTCCCAGTCGTTAAACCTCGTTGTAGGTGACTTTACTTTGTGGGTTCGCGTTTTATTAATAACATGTTTTTACTTTTTGTTTTATCTCCGATGTGAAAAATAGATCGGCCTTCGGTTCAGTGAAAGGCTTTTCACAAAGGCTATTGTTTTGTTTTTCGAACGTTTGGCCTAGGTGTCGGGAAGATTTTCTTTGTTTGTGGCTTGTTACAAGTTTATTGTACGCGATTTTTACAGTTGACTTGCGTCAGATGTATTTATGATGAATTCTGAGATAGCTACACAATTGTGGAGTTTTAATGAAACTGATTTCGGGAAACTACGCCAATATTTTTATTGGCGTAGAGTATAATTTCTCTAATCATAATATTTTTGATTTTCAAATTGAGATACTAAGAATCGCAGATTATTTCTTTATTCTTAAGAAATTGAAAAGGTATGATATCCACTTTGAAGAATTTTTTTTCCATCTAAATCACTATTTCTTCGAGTTTTCACTTTTTTAAAAACAGTAATGATGCGATTGATTTGATACAAAATTTACAGCTGCGCCACAATCGTTCAACCTAAAAAGGTTTCCATCTTCCTAATAATTTGAAGTAGAGATACTTTTATTAGAATTATATCATTATTATATTTGACTGCATTTCATTGGTATTTTTTTTATATATAATATGTGTTCATTGTAAAGTATGTTATTTCTGTTATTTTATTATACTTTGTAGTTAGTTATAGTCCCTAATTATAAGCATTCATTGTTTCTTGGGACAATAAACCGAATAGAATTGAATGGAATTATTAGATTAAAGTTAGAATATTCGTTTATCAATGAACTTGAGTGTAGATAAGTGTCAAATTTTCATTAAGACTCCACGTGGAAAAATTATTTGATTGTATCATCACTTTCTGTACTATAATATCCTTTATCATTAGCAGCTTTTCAAGATAAATCGATAATGTGAAGAATCAGGGATAGATATTCTAGACCTTAATTATCCACATCGGGTTACATACATATAGTTATTCAAATTATATGCGAAAAAGCAAACTCAGAGGCGTGTCACAAAATTTTGGAATAACATACTAAGGATTTCAGCAAAGTTTGTTAATCCTATTTAATACTTCGGACTAAATTAAAACATAATTTTTGTATAAGTGTCGCCTTCTAGAATATGTAAGACAATTAATCTCTGTTTTGTAAAGAAATAATGAATTTAATCTACTCAATCTCGAAAAAAAATGAAAAAACGAAATAAGTAATAATAAATAATTTATTGCATTGCAAGTAGAGGTGTCCCAGAAATAACCGAACCAACAAAGAAAACACAAAAATTTAATCTCCTTGCAGCTCTATATGCTTTCCCAGATACGGCCAATAATTTCGATACCGTTCCTATAATAAGAATTGTCGTGTTTCTCAAAATGACAATAAACATCAAATATAGAATAACAACATCTTGTTTTTTTTATAATGATACTTGCTGTTGCTTGCTGTTTGTAATATATTTTCAATCAGAAGTAGGCCTCAAAAATTGACCCATGTTTTGTCGCTCCAATATAAAGACATCGTGAATGAAAACTATAATTAGTTATATACTTCCATTGTCTAATAGGATTCTGATATGATTCAAAATCTATGAAAGAACAAATATAATCAGAGTAAATATCTGAAATATCAATTATATTAAGCAATGAAACATGAAAAGTTCAGCGGTGAAATTTATAAACAAACTTTTGGTACTACAATAGAAGCTAAGATTAGCCCCATCTTAGCAGCATATGTCATGGACGACCTACTAGATTTGGTCTTACAGGTTCTTCCCTTTAATCTCTTTTTTATGAAAAAATATGTCGATGACAGAACACCAGATAATAAATACTCTCATAGATTGGTATCGTAAGCCTATCAGTTCTGGTAGGTTCTTGAACTATTGGTCATACTATAAGCAGTCATCGAAAATTAACTTGATCAAGCAAATAAATATAAAAAAATCAATATGGCACATCAATTTGAGCTTGTTATCGATCATGGAATACTTTAAATCTGTTGGAACCTCTTCTAATCAAAAGTGATCCTCGATTTTGGTCGTCATAGTTGTTATCATTGGCATCGAAAAGGTTCTCTCTCTCTCTGTCTGTTTTTCCGTTAATCAGCTGTCGCCCCCATACCAACGACAACTCTCAGAAGTTGAGAAACTTGTGCGAGCTAAGGACTAACGAGATTTTACCTTTTATCGTGTGATTCCTAACACGGTTGCAGAATCATTCCAGCTTCAACCAGATAAATTATCTCGAGAAAAATATCTGGTCGAGGCAGGAATCGAACCCACGGTCTTCCGATCGTGAGTCGGGCGCACTACCACCGCGGCCAATTCCACAACCACCAGGTTTTAAAACTATTTTTTTTTTTCGGATTCTGGTTTCCAGTATGCTGAAAATACTAGGGGAAAATAATATGTCTAGATTCTCATAAAGATTGGTAACCTTTCACCAGTTCCTAAACGGCAAGCTTAAATTGAAAATCTCGCGCGATACAAAAGATTTTCACTCAGCTTCACCGTTTACAGACCACTATAATTAATTCAAGCTGATATCGAACATGTTCCTCTTTCATGAATAATTTCTGTGTACCATGCATATATTTCCACGTTGTTCACACACTTTCGTCTGGTGTGCGGTTTATTTGGCGTCACGTGGTTGGCAGCATTGTCAAATTGTATTATAGCTTTCCGTCCATGGCATCGCCCACCAGATATGCACTTGTTTTTCGGTGTTGATTTTCATATGGCGCAGAGGGGGGACATGGGCGGAGGACTCGTTTTCGATTCCTTGAATAGTCTCAGGGTTCCCAACTTGAAGGTTTACCCCCCAAATTTAGGGAAAAAAG